TAATTTTTTCTTATTTCTATGAACATTTTTTATAATAACTGTCATGTAGCCATGAAGGTTATAAGCTGCAGTGCTGCACGTTTATTCGTAATATTATTTTAAATGTTTTGAATATTTTTCTTTTCGCTTCTAATTCGTCAGTAAATTCATTACATTTTCTTTTTTATTGATTTTAATTACAATTTATGTGACTATAATTTAGAGATTAGGTAAAATTTAAAAAAAATTTGTCAAATAAATTAACATTTTTCCGTTTTCATGTTGTCTTTAATTTACCATCCAAATTTTGATATAAGGTTATATCTATAATCATCATCCTCGTAGACGATTATAGAATTATAATTTATAGGTGCCTAAATGTATTATATCGTTATTATAAGTCAATATATTTATTGGACATCGTAACCCGCATGATATGTTGTCAGGTTGTGTCCGTCCTATAATTGGTCATACATATTATTTATAATAAATGGTCCTATTAACAGATAAAATAGCATATTCTATGTTCAGAAGAATACATTTTCCTTTGCTATATTAGAGTAAATTAACATATTCGGGGTTTGGATCCAAAATGTGTAAATTTGAAATTTTTCAGAAAAGCCAATTTAAATGTGCTTAAATATTTTTCAGCTTATATTTATTTGATTTGGACATATAACTATATAAGTTATCAAAACCTTTTAAATTCAATCAGAGTTTGTATTATCTCAACAGTTAATTGAGAAGAAATTTGGTAATCCAAAAATAATAAAATATTTACATAGAAAATTTTTGGATTCAAACCCGCGTGTTATCAAATTTAAAGTTAATAATATTATCAATGGCCAAGTGTGATTTGTATGAAATTGTCATTTTTAAACAAGTTAGGTATGAGCATTTTAAAATTGTAATTATTTTGTTAAATGCTCACCGGTAAACCACAACAAATAATATTCTTTCTTATAGATTTTATAATATGTCAATCCACTATAATTTTAAAAATAATAGATGGATTATTTTGAACTCAAAATCTTCCATGTACATACGTATACACGTTTCGATAGCAAGACAGAGACAACATAAGTAGGTACGCGGGTACGACACTACGATACAACAATCATAAATTATGTCTAATCTAATCTATTAATAAATCGAAGAATTTTGTACTGTTAAATACAAATTTGTATCTTTGAATAAATGTGTATAAAGTATGACCAAAGAACTACCTAATCTACCATAGGTAACCGTTTGGGTTTGACATACGATAATAATATTAGTATTGTCATTGTATAGGATAGCATAATCTAATTACAGGCAAAACTGCATTAAAATATTTGTAAAATTGTAATATTATATAATAGGTAGGTTCATAGACATAAATACATAATACAATTTATATGTTAATAATAATTGACTTACATAGGTACCTATATATTCCTTACCAATTAACTATCATTTCAATAAAATCATAGTATCTTTCAGTCCCCCGAAGTAGTTAAAATTATATTGACTCATTATAATATTATGCAGAACTCAAAGACTAGTACACTTCAAAGCGCTATGAAAAAAAGGATTATCTATACTCAATAATCAATAAACAACAATATTCCTACTATGTTTACAGTAAGAAATATTTTATATTATGTTACCATAAAAGAATGTCAGGCGTTATATTATAATATGTATATTGTATACTGTATACATGCATATTATCTCTGTGTTTACTATTTTGTCATACCTAGTTGCATAACATTTTGATTTTTGACTTTATTTTTCTACTTAATTATATTTTATTAAGTACCTTATAATATTATGTTTTAAGATTTTTCTAAAAGTTACTACTCTGGAGAGTTTAAATAACACAATGTGTTTATAGATAAATCATTGGTAATATATTCATATCAGGCATCATAGCTACTCGTCAGAGTTTGACTTGTTATGGGGAGGGGAGGGAGTTCTCAACTATTATTACAACATATATTCTTATTTTTGGAGTTTATCAAATGAAGATTAATAGAAAAATGTTTGTTTACAATGTTAAATGTATTTTGTTAATTTTGTTGAAAGGTTAGGCATCTCCTGCGGTGTCAACTTACATGTAAGTCGTTACATGTTTCTTGTTATAGTTAGAAATTGGGAAGATAATACAAAAGACAAAGACAATTTTTTGTTTATTAATTAATACGTACCACGTACGTGATTATACATAGAATTACAAAATCAATCTATATGACTTTATGTATACGGGCTACAAGCCTACGACGATCTGAAATATTTGTTGGTGTATTACCAAGTATTACTAAATCATTTCATTATAGTTACAATGACTAAGTAAAAAGTGTGTTGCTTGTGGTGTAAATTATCAAAATTCAACGATATTTGCAGTAGGTTCTAGATAATTATTATAAATATTGTGACTTGTGAGTATTTTTAATTTTTATTATTTACGAAACGGATGATAATATATTTCTTAATTTTAAATTAATAAATATTACAAATATTAATATTCAATAATGAGTATTTTTTAAATTATTTTGTATGGTTGGAATAATAAAATGCAAAAAATTGTAATAGGATAAGTTAATAAGATATTATTTTATATAGTATATATATATATATATTTATTTTAAGTTTGTAACATAATGCATTTTAATTGCACTTTTAAAGATATAAATATACAAGAAACAATTGACAAGTTTTAATTATTTGATATTAATTTGCTACCTATTTTGCTTTCATAATTTTAGCTCCATCTAGGATCATATAACGAAACTACGTGCTAGCTCTTTTGGTGTTTATTGATTGCATATCCTTGTCGCCGGAACACAGTGCAGCATCCTGGTTTCATTTTTTTTTCATGCTACCTGTTTCAAATTTTTGTAAAACGCCCATTATTTTAACAATGCAGTTTTTGTTTTGTTTGTTGTGTCGTTTTAATTTATTGAACGGATCGATTAAGTCAATAAATGTAATTAGTTCATAACGTACAAACGATTTTCGACGTCGTTATATTTATTATTAACTGTATTATGGCTGTGTGATTTCTTTCGGAAGCTGTTGATCAATCATAATAATTGGTGCGTTTTTCAGGAAAGTAGGCATTGATTGGCACCCGTGAGAAAGAATCAGCGCGAAAAAGGAAGCGCGTGCCCGTGGCGAAAGTAGTCGAAGGTTGTCGAATGATAATATACTTAGGTATAGTATTGTGTTATTTTTTCATCAAGTTCACTCGTATATAAAGCAGTCAGTCTCTTTAAACGGATACTAGTGTAGTTTTAGGTTCTCAACAGTTGCTTTTCTTACTTGTAGTGTGTCTTAGCTTATTTTAGTTTACAATTTCTGTGAGATATTAAAACTCTGATCCTTGTAAATAAGATACTTGTAAACTAACGTGATACATGACATTGCGTGTATATATTATATTAGATGACTACTAATAGTACAGTAAGTTTTAAAAATGTCATATATTATATATATAATTTATGTACCTATACATTTGCACATTATTCATGAGCTAAAAATACTCAGCATTAAAACAATTTTTTTAAATGATTTAAAAATTATATTATGTCTTATAAAATAAATATGTCTAGAGATATTCGGATTATTTTCGCTATTTCATGAACAATGAACATATTATTAAAATTTACATATTTCTGAATATCATAAATAAATTAACATTGAGAAATGTCTATGTTTCTACATAAAATGCTTACAACTTTATACTTCGAAAAATATATTCCTGGATTCAAATTTATGGTATTATTAAGTAATTAAAAATTTTAACTTTTCCTCTCTGTTTATGTTTATTACTATTATAATAGTTATATAGCTAAATACATTATCTAAAATTTTAATTGCGTCAATTAATTTATTAAAAATTAAAAAAGTTGATGAACAATGTAGTTAAAATTTTAAAATCGTAGTTTATTATTTTTGTTTTATTACATAATATTATATTATATGTACCTATAGTTGGCGTACAAAAAATGAATAATTTATTAATTAGTTAAAAAATATAATGTACAGGTGTGTGTGTGTGTGTGTGTGTGTGTGTGTGTGTGTGTGTGGTACTATAAATAAATACTCGTGAGGTTTCGTTGTCAAAATAAATCCAAAAAAATGTTAATTGAATAATTTTGAACATTTGATTTTGGAAGTTTTTTTAGAACCAGTTCTTTGTAGGATCTTCGCTAATCTTTGGTAAACTCATCTCTGCTCAGAATCCTTTTTCCAAATGCATTGATGTTTCAGTGAGTTTAATTTAATAACATTCACAATAGGTAATACATTTTAGGATCACCTATATGGCTATATACTGACTATATTTTGTTACTTAAAGAACTAAATTATTTACATACTTCATAATTCAATATTAAACAAATAATTTAATGTTAACCTGTATATAAGTTACAATGAATTACATAATATTTAATAATCTACGCTTTTACTACCTATACCTAATATTCAATTAATTAAATAACAATTTAGAGTGAACTAAAATGGGCAAGGGACGTTTGAAAATTAAAAATTACTTTTAAATAACTTTTTTTTGCCACAGTTTTTAAAAAATTCAAATAAATTATCTTTTTAGTTTTTGTGAAGTACAACCCGAGTCCAATATATTATATAGTTGCCACACGAGTGCATGACACCTTTTGAGGTTTTTTAGTATCTTATGAAAAAGTACAAGCATATTTTTAATATCTCATAAACAAATGCAAGCGTATATGCATAGAAACAAATAGGTTTTTTATTAAAAACTTTTTTAATAAGATAATTACATTACTTAATAATCCTAAGGGGGTATAATAAATCAATTTTAAATTCTTCGATCAATATAATTTAAAATGTTTACAATAATTATAGTGTTCAAATTGTTTTAAATAACATATTTTTTTAGAAAACCATTTATGAAGACTACAAAAACAACATGAAAACAATTAAAACTAATATTTTATACACCAAAATTAATTGTTGGATAAATTATGAAATGGGATTTTTATAAATTGAAATAAATCATGATGACGAATAATTCTCCTACGACCATAACGTGCAAAGAAGGGTCTCCGCTCAGACCATGCAATGATGATTTAGAGGTTGGAAACACAAAAGTCAATGAGGTCACAAACAATGGATATTTCGGGAGACAGTATCAAAAAGTACCCGATGTACGGATTACATCACCTGCAGACGAACGACCATCCAAGAGCAAGTTTCGTGTCCGTGACGTTAGCCCTATACAAGTGCCTAGACATAAAACGAGCTCTACGTGTTATCGGATATTGGTACCTGAAACAAACACGGAAAAACTAGTACTTTTCGTTTGTCTTACAGTGTTTTTCACCTTACTCGTCTCGTTGGTGTATTTTTTCGTGAAAATAGAATGCACATTTGGAGCTAAAGATCAAAAATGTAAAAGTAAGTATATACATGCTACAATAAATTTATTGACTTCATCATTAAATACAACATTTACTATATCAAAACGAGGTAAAAAACTAAGTAATTTCACCGGTGAAAAATATATATATAATAATATATCAAATTAATTTTCTAATTATAATTCCAAATTATGAAAGAAAACTAGTGGAAACATTAATTGTTCGTATAATTTATTATTTTATTATTATTTAAAGTTTTTTCATCAACTATCTATTATGCAATACAAATTTAATTGTGATTTTTAATACACGAGATTTAAAATGTATTAATATTAATTTTTGGAAAAATTATAAACTTAAAAATTAAAATGTATTACAATTAATTTTTGTGATGCAATAATAATTGCTCCAAAATTTATCAGGATAAGAAGTATTACTATAATTTCAACCCCTATAGTCGCTTCTATAACGGTCTAAAGAATGTCCACTATACTTTGTTTATATCATTCAAACAGTTTTATCGGAAGTAAATAAAATAACCTTCATTTATAATTCAGCGTTAAAAATTATTGCCGCCCGATTCGTACTTATAATATATTTCTATAAATTACATCAAGAAACCTTGCTTCCAGACTCCAGTGTCAAAAATCACAAAAGCATAACCACAAATAGCTATAAGGTTATACTTATACATATCTATAAAGTATTAAATCAAAACACACGATGTTGACAATTGTTCGAAAAAAAACACGTACCTATCAAGTACATAAAGTGTACATTATTTGTCAAAATCTTTCATAATAATATGACTTGTACAACTTTTAGTCATTAAAAATGCCTATAGGACATCAATGCGACCGGGTTTAATTGACCTTGACACTATTAATATTAACAATCGTTAATCAATATTCAATAACAACGACATCTTACACTCATTATTATTAGGTATCATTATATTTAAATAATATTTATAATAATTTCAGTGTATTATTGTTTAATTATTTTAGGTAACTGGTTCTCAAACAATGAACCCAACATATGTATGAAAGAAGAATGCGTTAAAACAGGTAGGTAATTATACATAGGTACATATTGGTATATTACATTAGTTTTTCATAAGATAAATCGTATTACGTACGTATAGGTACCTAATTTGATCATTAAAGATCCGCATCGAATAAACGAAAAACACGGTGTGATTAGATTTTCTTGTAACAGTATTATAACTCTTATTAATATTTGATACAAGCATACAACGCATCATTAAGGTTTTTTTTCAAATCTATTGAGTATTTGAGTTAGTATTTTAAATTTTAATAGAATGAGATTTATAATTTATGTACAATTGAAATTACATTTTACTATTACTAAAATACTTCTAAAACACATTTTTACATAGGTAAAATTACTTAAATAGATTTTAAGAGTTAATTGACAAAAATATTTTTTTTTTCAAATACGAAATTTATATTAATAAGTTTTATTATACAATGCATTGAACATTATTTCGTTCAATAATTTTAGTGTTTTATGGTTATGCTGTCTTACATTTTTATTTCTTCAATTAAGAAATTAAGATTTAACATCGAAATCATATATATATATATATATATATCTATTACCTAAAATTAATTTATAGTATCTTAAGTACTGTTATTAATTCTCTTAGGGGTTTTTTTTCAATTTCATGAATAAATAAAGGTAGGTACTAGGTAGGTAGCAATAAAATTAATACTGTGCTGCCAAGTGAGGTCTAAAATAAATAACTATGATATATTGATATAGGTAATAAAAAACATAGCCAATTATTTGTAACTGGTAGGATTAACTATATTATGTAAGGCACAAATTAACTGCACAATATTGCATTTATTTTTAGTGAAATAGATTTATTTTATTATTTATTGTCCCATATTATTATTAAAAACAAATTATTGTTATGTATAGTGTATACATATCATATTATGTACACTTATTTGTATCATTATATATTTTATAGCTGCTTCATTATTGTCAGCAATGGATCCAACTGCAGATCCGTGTGACGATTTTTATCAATATGCTTGTGGTACGTGGGATAAAAGGCATTTAATTCCTGAAGATAAAAGCAGTATCAACACATTTGAAGTCCTTGCTGATCGATTACAAGTTATTTTAAAAGGTTAGTTGTTCATATAAAAATTATTAATTTCTAATTTAAAAATTAAGTACCTAGGTATTGTATTTGGTGATTATAACTACCGAAATTTTAAGGACCGTATTATTTACAGCGTGTTCCTCCAAATATGTCCATTCTCTTTGTTTCTAATTTTTGGTATTTCTAATAAAAATCAAAACCATATATTTTCAAATATTTGATTTAATTTTATATACCATTTTTCCTGTGGCGATAAAAAATTATTTTAGATTCTGAGTGTGGCAATGAATGTGTTGGTTTCAGAATGATATTGTAAATAGGTATTTTTGATCATTTTATTTTTGTGTAATCATGTTTTGGAGCAGAAAAATGTTTTTTATATTCAACATAGAGTGTGTTTTCTGTTGGGAAATTGAATCTAGTTGGTACTATAGCCTATAGGGGTTAAATCCCTTTAGAAAATGCCAGTGATATTTAAAATAAAATTACTTAAGTAAGATTTTTTTAATAAAAATGAATAACTGTAGGTAGATACTATGAAATTTTAATAGCTTAGCCACTTATAGGCTTGACAATTTAATACAAGATTTCCTATCAGTTATTAAAAAATATCTAAGATAAAATACAAAAGTGCAATCCATTTTTAATTAGACGTTCAAAGTTTAAAAAAGTAAAGTTTTAAGAAATCGGATAATCAAATGAAGAACTACGATTATATATTGATATTTTATTTTAATTGAAACTTTTTGGCATTACGTATATTATTATTATTATCTATGTCTACATACTGAAGTTTTCAAACTATTTAGACAAATTTTAAGGTTTTTACATCACGAATCTATTCACATTGTTATAAAGCGCGTTGGTATTAACTTATAACTTACAAATAAATAATAATAATATAATATGTCCCATATAACACATAATCAGGATATCTATATTGTTAACAATATTTTTAAATCTTCGGATTCATTCAATATTTCTCTTCCAAGTTCAAATTGGACTGTTCGTCAAAAGATCCTCTACTGTTTCTTAGTAATAGATAAAGTTCTTAGATCTGTTCGTTTATGGTTTGGACAGGGGCGGATCTAGGGGAGGGTTCAGGAGGTCAGCTGACCCACAGTTAAAATTTTCTGATCAAATTGGCCTCTTTTCAGATCTTGAGTAGTTGGACACTTAAATAAACACACATATAGTATAAATGAATTTTAGATTCTGAGTGGAACGATGAATGTATTGATTTTACAATGTGTGTTTTTTTTAAAAATTTTTTGATTTTTTTTTGTGTCTGTGTACACGATAGGTAGTCGAAATAATGCTTCGTTTTTCAACTTCAGTATCTTGTTCGATTGGAAAGTGAATCTAGTTGGTGCATTCGGGAGGTTTAAAATTCCCAATAGTTTTCACAAGCGCCGGGATTAAACACATAAAAATTAAGGAATAACGGAAATTTTTACTCAAAATCTGTTTTCCAAAAAATCGATTTTGGTTTTTGGTGTAACTCTAAAACAAATGAACGTAAATACATGAAATTTTCCCTGGTTGCTTATATTTGCATTTTCTATACACGATAAAATTTTTAAAATATTATGATTTGTTTTGAACTCTTTAGGGACATTTTCATTTTCCATTTTTTTTTTAGTTTTTATTCTAAAAATATCAATAAAATTTTATTTGTTAGCTTAGAAAGCTTGAAAATGTATTATAAGGCTCCTAGTATATTGTTTAAAGGCAGATGAAAAATATTAAAAATAGTTAGTCACAATTTTCTTTTATCAATAAAAAAATCTCTACCGGAAAGTTAAATTAAATTTTTATGAGCGTTTGAAATTCAAATTTTTACAACATTGGATATTCACTCGATTTCTCATGTAGCGATTTCCTTATTTTGTTGTAATTCAAAAACAAATAACTGTAGATAAATGAAAATTTCACTGAATGTTCATATTAGAATTCCCTATACAATGTATAATTTTGAAAATAATTGTTTTTCTTATACAATGATATTATATATAATTATAGATTCAAATTAAATACCATCCATTACAGCGACCCCCATTTGTAAGTTGTAACCTAATGTACAGCAGGTTAGGTATACAGCAAAAATATGTTGACTCTTTTTGAGCTGTTTACGGACATTTTCAGTTTTCAATTTTTTTAGATTTTTTTTTCTATAAATATCAATAAAGTTTTATCTGTTATGCCAAATAGTGTAAAAATTTAATATAAGGCTCCTGATATATTGTTACAATATCAGTTGAAAAATATTAAAAATACATAGGCTGCACAATTTTTTTTATAAGCATTTAAAGATCGAATTTTGACAAAATTTATAAAATTTAAAATTGAATAATTATTTTGTAGTTAAAAATATATAAAATGTTCAACTTTTATATCTAAGGATTGAAAATTTAAAACATGATTTCACCATTGTAGTTAATTCTGTTACCAAAAAATCTAAAAAATACATAATCACAGCTTATTTTTATAGTCATTTTAAGTTCAACTTTGGATAAAATTACATAAAAAAAAACCTAGAATTACTATTTTAGTTATTTTTTTGTGATTGTGTAATATTAATATTATTCGTGGGTACTTGAAACTTCTAAAGTACACTATTATATACCTATGGAGTATGGACTATGATAGTATCAGGGTTTGTTGTTGACGTATAACGCATTATAAGTACCTAATGGATATTGGGATATGATTAATTTGGAATTTATTATAGGTAAATTTTTTTTAATACGATAGATAAGAAAATAATATGCCTTATACCTAGACTGACATACCGTCTCCGCTCAGAATCGTTTTTCTTATACAATGATATTATATGATTGAATTCAAATTTAATACTATCCATTATACAGTGACCCACTTGTAACCTACTGTACAGCGGAGCACCTTTTTTGTTGTTTTATATGCCTAGTACACAAGTATAGATTTCTAATTTGGTTTTAATAAGTGGCCCCTTGAAATTTCCTGACCCACAGTTTCCTAACTCTGGATCCGCCCCTGGGTTTGGAGCCCACATTATTAAACCCACATCTATTGATCTGTTGAAAGGCTTCAATGCAAGTTTCTATAATTTGCTGCTTATTCTCTAAAGGTTCCTTGTCCTTCATATGATTATGACTCTATCTGTAAAGTTTATAAATTTAACTAGTCATGTTAATCCGAGACACACAGCGAATATATAATTTCTTACTAAGCTTTTATCGAACTCAATTGGAAACGAATACATTTTAAAGTTACACCTCGTCATACTATAGATACGCTTCCCCATTTTTCATTACATTTTATTCATTTAACTATTTACAGTAGAACTTCCATATAACGGTCACCGAAGGGACTTTAAATAATGACCGCTATTTAGAGGTGCCCGTCCTACAGAGGTAGGGTAACACTAGGAAACACTCAACGGGACCAAAAAAATTGACCGTTACATAGAGGTGACCGTTAATGGAAGTTTTACTGTATTATATTTCAGTTATTTCGGGTCATTTTTTCATATTTCTTCGATATTTTTAATAATTTCCGTCAATCAAAATTTTGTACATATATTTTATGAGTTATTTTAGTTTCTGAGAAGACTGATGAATGTATTAAGTTTATGATTTGTATATGTCATATTTGTAGTTTGTGTACAATTTAAAGTAGAACAAATTCTTCAATTTTCCCTTTTAAAAGTGAATTCTGATAGAAAATTGGATTTAGTTGGATTTAGTTGGTACTACTGTGAGGAAATCAAAATTTAAAATTCCCAGTGGTTTTCAATATAAGCAGCGGAAAATAAAAACAACTGCTAAGTGGGTGTCGCTTTGCTGTATAGTAGGTTACAATTAGGTCACTGTAATGGATGATGTCAAATTTGAATTCGATGATTTGCCTAATATCATTGTATACGAAAAACGATTCTGAGAGAGACGGTTTGTCATCCTAGGATATTTTATATTATATTTATATCGTTATTATTAATACGGTAGATTGAATTAATATTATTTGTATATTTAATATTATCCAATTTGTATATAGTAATATTATACTTTAGAAGTTTCAAGTACCTACCCAAGAATAATATTTTTAAACTACAACAGATTAACTAAAATCGTTATTCTTGATTATTTAATGTGTTTATATATTTTTTAGATTTTTTGGTTACAGAATTAACTATACTTACGTTACGTGCAACCTTGTTATACATTTTAAGTCCTTAGCTATAAAAGTTTATCATTATAGACATTTTAACTACAAAATAATTTGTAAATTTTCAATTAATTTGATAAATTTTCTCAAAACGATTTGACAAAATTAGCACCTCTAGAACAATACTTCCATAACTCTTCGGAAAAAGCGATTTGAAGCTTAAAACTAAGAAATATCTTAAGTATCTTTAAAATATTAAAGAGTTCTTTACCTATGCGTTTGGAACTAATAACTTAAATACTCGGGTACATACTTTACAATATGACTTTTTCAAATGTTACGAAATACTCTCATAAACCCAAAAAGTTAGACTTATTGCCTTTTCAATTTTTTAAGTAAATGCAAGACTGCTACATTTTGAGATGTGTAAAATATTTCTATTTATAAATACAAGACAGTCGTGTTTCGTATTTCAGCTGCAACATCACAAATTATAAAATGCAATACCGCCACTACTCTAAATTATCTCCTACGTTAATTAGTTTTTATTTAGAGCGAGAACGCCACAAATCGAAATAAGGCAGTCTTACATTTTGACTTCAGTGTTTAATTGGTTAAATTAAAATACGTATACTCCCGTTAAGAAAATAAATTAATAGAGCTAAACGCCTAAACGTGATCTGTAAAATTTGATATTTGGTACGCACTTGTAAGACGGGACAACACATGCGTCACCACGTCCTCTTATATATAGAGCTATTTTTCTTAAAATTGATGAATTTGAGTTGTGGCAATCTAGTTCTATAGAGGTGTGATATTATTTATTTATTTTTATATATTTTACGCAATTACGCCAATCGGCAGTTAACAATGATACATCATTATAATTATAGCATCTATTCTCACATCTTTCAACCTATTATAATTGATTATTATCCTTAGTCCCTACATGCTAAAATAATATATATTTTAATAATATGGTAATTATTTACTGATAATTATACTACTAAGTTATACTAAAATATTACGTAGAAAAAGTGGTAGAACTGTAAAAGATCTAATTTTTGAACAAGTTTTTTTTTTTATTAAACCACAAAATTTTAGTTTTTTTAATAAACATTTTAAATTATTAAAATAGCTTCAACCATACTGAAATATTAATTACTTAAAGCTTTATTTTAAAATATAAAAACAAATGTATAAATTTAAATGTAGGCAGGTAATTAATCTAATCTATTGTATATATTTTATTAAGGTATTATGAGTAGTAGGTATTAAAAAGTGTATAATACAGGTACAACTAAACTTGTATCTATACATGTCTTTAAATGCAATTTTTTTATTTAGGTCTTCTGGAAGAATCAGTAAATCGACTTGACAGCTCAGCAACAATTAAAGCAAAGCTATTTTATAAATCATGCATGAATATTAGTAAGTACCTACCCATATTATTTTAAGGGATTCTGAATATTCAATTTAAACATATACCTCCTTGAGTTTAGCTCAAATCAGACATATTGGAGACATGCCTATCCGCGAGCTTTTAAAATCAGTTGGAGGCTGGCCGGTGATCGATTCAAATTGGCGACCACCTGATTACAGTATTGAAGTCTTACTTGGTCGATTGAAAAAAGAATTCAATGAAGGAATCATAATTGAACCATGGGTTGGGCCAGATGATAAAAACTCTTCTGTAAACATCCTTCAGGTGCGAAAAAAGTAAGACATTAATGTAGTCGCATCTACATAGTAAGACCAAACAATTAGGCAATAAACAATATGATTATCGTATTGGCTTATACATTTATGCTTAATTAAGTGTTAAGTAAAGAATATTATTACTACTGTTATTACTATCTTTTTACTTTTTTTTTATAAAATTTAGTTGGATCAAATGCAACTGGGACTACCAAGCAGAGATTATTTCTTAAAAGACAGTAGCGCTGAAGCACTACAAGCCTATCATAAATATATGTCTGAAGTAGCCGTGTTATTAGGGGCAAATAAGTCAACAGCACCTTTTGAACTATTAAAAATTATTGAATTTGAAATTGAAATAGCGAATGTGAGTACATTTAGTACCTATTAACAACTTTATGCTTTAAAATGGTTTAATGTTAAATTATTATGATATGTAGATTACACAAACGGAAACCGATAGGCATGACACGACTGGCACATATTTAAAACTTCCACTAAAAGATTTACAAAAACATGTTCCAGAATTTGATTGGCAATTATATTTGAAAACTATTTTGCAAATTAAACTTTCTGACCAGGAACCTGTAGTGAGTTATGCAATGTCATACTTTACACAACTCGGTCATCTATTAAAAAAAACTGACAGGAGGTATATTATTATAATGACTGAAAACTTAAGGGAAACTATTATATTTTGGTTCTTAATAACAGGACAATTTAAAATTTATTTTTCATAGGGTTATTCACAATTACATTATCTGGAGACTAGTTCAAAGCACTGTACTCCCACATATGATTGATGATTTTCAGTACAAAAGATTAAACTTTAAGAAAATACTTTTAGGAATTCTCAATGAACGGAGTAGGTGGAGAGATTGTGTTGATTGGACCAACAAGCGACTTGGAATGGCGGTTGGTGCTCTATTTATAAGAGATAATTTCAGCTTGGAGAGTAAAGTACGATTAAAACATAAATATTTAAAAAAAACTAATTTGAAATATATTTTAAAATATGAAGTAGAAAATATAAGGTTTTATCATATATTTTTCAATAAGGTGACTGCTATGGATATGATAGAATCAATTAGAGAAGCATTCAATGAACTTCTAAACGAAAACCATTGGATGGACGAACAAACAAGAATAGTGGCCAAAGCAAAGGCTGATGCTATGAAAGAACGAATTGGATACCCAGAAGTGTTAACAGATCCGGACGAGTTGGAAAAAGAATATATAATGGTATGTTTTAAAGGTTTGGGAATAAAATCTTTTTCATTATTTTGAATTTTTGTATATCATTAGTTAAATGTCACCGAAAATCAGTTTATTCTTAACGTGTTCAATGTGCTAAAATTCGACGCTTACCAAAATTTAGAAAGACTAAGAAAACCAGTTGACAAAGATAAATGGTCAACAGAACCTGCAGTGGTTAATGCATTTTATAATCCGAATAAAAATCATATTGGTAAATTTAATTCACATAATATAGTCTATGGTCATAACACTCATAACTACTAGGGCACGGAACTTGATGACCTAATATTATATAGTGTGGTAAGGGTGGGAAGTGAGCTATTTCAGTGGCGAGCGACGTGTACAGCATGAACCGTAGGAGAGGGCCGGCGGGCCGCATTTCGTACAAGACTGAAACGGCCTTCCCGCGCGAGCCACACATATTATTTTTTGTCACGCCTATAACGATATGTGCACCAGGCACTTTTTGGGATTTCCACTTTACCACCCGCTGGACGGAAAAAGGACGCTTCGAACGCTTCAACCGCTATCGAAAACCAAACTTTCGGTGCAGGTGTGACAAAAAAATCTTTAAAAAATGCACACAAAAAAAAATGTTAAAATTACTTATAGACAACAAAAAATGACCACAAAAATACCAAAACATTTTTTATAATGACAACATTTTTAAAAATTTAAGTTTTACAATAATTACGTTTTATAAAATTCATAGGTCATAAATCGTATTTATTATAGGTTCTAGCTCTTTAATAATGTTTACTCTCGAAAGTGCCTTGAAAAATGTTTTTTTGAAGTTTGAAATAATTCGATCGACCTTTGGAAAGTTTTTTCTAATTGACCTGGTCTAAAATAATATTGGTCTACATTTTATTAAATAATCGTTGATTGCGACAACAAACGATAAATGAACGTCAATAATCGACAAGCTAATGGAAACTGAATGTATTACGATTAAGTGAAACTTTCAACAAGAAAAATGCAAAAAATTCAAAATAAAAATTGTACCATTAAATTCTATATTCCATGAATCAAATTTCTGTAAGGACGAGCCTCGTATGTAAGCATTAGAAAAAAAGATGCAAATGCATCAAGTTCCGGGCCCTATTCATAACATATGTAAATGTATGAAAAGTAATAAGTAATAATAAATTGGATTTTAATTTATTAGTCATTCCTGCTGGTATTCTTCAACCTTTATTTTATAGTCAACATTTTCCTAAATCCTTAAATTACGGTGGGATCGGCGTAGTAATCGGTCACGAGATCACTCATGGATTCGACGATAAAGGTACCTAATTGCTAATGTTTTTATTACCTAATGTCAAATTATACCCACCTCGTTTGCAGGGAATTAATATTACTTGAATATTTCAATAACACAATTTCAATTTCTGTTTAAAGGTCGGCAGTTTGATAAAAATGGTAATATGATCGAGTGGTGGGATTCTAAAACAATATATACGTTCAGGGAAAAAGCTCAGTGTATGGTGGATCAGTATTCAAAGTACAAAATGCAAGAAGTAAATTTACACGTTAATGGACGCATGACTCAGGGCGAAAACATAGCGGATAACGGTGGACTTAAACAGTCATTTCGGGTATATATATATTTAAAAACTTTGTCATTATAGGGGTATCGGATTTGAAGGCAAATGGATTTTTTTCAGACAGGGTAGCAAAATAATTCTTATGTAAAAATGTGTTTAATTTAATTTATAAAGTAATGGATACAAATTTTTGATTTTTTTGTGTTTGATTACCGAATGATCATAATACTTGTATACAAATGTATGGTATAAATTCGGTAAGAGCTTGAAAATATGATGCGTATGGTCGATGTTATGTTTAAAACTTTAAAACAACCTTTCATGTGCTTTATTATCATATTGCTATTAGATGATAAAGTATTTGTCTAGGTAAAAAGAAAAATTAAGTTATAACTGTCAATTATCTTCCGAAGACAATTCATCTAAGGACCTATATGGCAATGCATTTTTTTTAAAATAAAATTTAGTTAATTTGCTTGAAGCCTGTTACATTTTTTAATCGATTTTTTATGTAATATAATATTATGTATAAATTAAATGTTTTTTGGAGCTTTTTCACATTTCAAGTGCTTTTGTATTGTTTATACCTATTGCCTTGAAATCCGACGTATTATAACCCCGATATATAAATATGACTATACCTTTATGACGTGATGAGCGTATTGAACAAAAGTGGTTCCTAAAACGACGCAAACTCATAAATCGTATTTTATAATATGGACGGTTGTTGTGTACCTATATAGAGTGTCCAGTCCATAATAGAAACTTTTCAGTAGACGTATAAAAACGTTTCATTTCCTACAATCTTAATGTATATTATTGTATAATATGAAAATGACTAAAAAGTGAATTGACGCTCTTCTCACATCGACCGTCCATATCTTAGAAACACATCTATTGGGAAACTTATAGCAAAAATGAATTGTTTTCAGGCCTATAAGAAATGGGTGACCAAACATGGAGAAGAACCATTACTTCCTGGTATTGACATGACACACGACCAACTGTTCTTTTTAAATTACGCGCAAATCTGGTGTGGTTCAATGCGACCAGAAGACGCTCTGACAAAAGTCAGATCCTCCGTGCACTCGCCGGGGCCCACAAGAGTTTGGGGTCCCTTGTCGAATTCCGATGATTTCGCCAAAGCATATGAATGTCCGTCTGGATCTCGAATGAATCCCGTCGATAAATGCATCGTTTGGTAGAATTTGTTACTACATAGGTTATGTTTACATTTCATATCTGAATTCTATTTGTTTTTGATCAACCATTAATTTTATTCCCACGACATTTTAGCTGTTTACTTGTAATGCAGGGCAAAGTGCTCGTAAATCATATCATATTAATTTAATAGACAAGCAATTTGATAATAGGTTCATCATTCACTATACTAATATTTGTAACTGATATTCGTGACTATTTTGATAATTCATAAATCAAAAGTACTACGTATAGATTAAAAGTTAAAACTTGATACACCACTGATTATATTTAGGTACTACAACTTAACGATAAATTACTTACAAATCACCAAAACGCTTAACTTTTTTTTTGATGAATTGCAAATGCGTATTTAATGTAGGTATTATTTGCCTTGTATTGTAGTTTGTAAACAGACCATCAACATATTTTTAATTTAGAAGTAGGATTTTTCAAACGTGTGCGTGTGTTGAATTGATTTATACATTATATATATAAAGTAGCGTGGATAGTAATGAAAACTATTAATTCAATAACTTAATTCATTTTTTGGCTAAAAATAAATTTTAATAGTAAGATTTGAAAATGATTCCTTATTAATTTGTTTTTAATTTAATTTTTTTTAGTTAATAATAACGTAATCTGACTTTTAAAATGTTCTTTGTTTATAAGCTCTAATAAGGTATAGTTGTTACAGTAGTTATAACTACGTAGGTAGGCACTTAAACATTTGCCTATTTAATTTTTATTTATAATAAAGATAATTTAGTACAACATTTAAGAAAGGTACCGAAAATCTGAACCTTATTAATAATAAAAGATTAAATCAAAAGATGTTAATCGATGAAAAGTGTTATCTGAGAGGACATTTTAATTACCAAATAGTATAAATATGACCACAAAAGAAGAAACAATTGAGGGTAAAGACAATCACGGGAAAAGGATTTCCAGGGGTTATTATAAGTGCCAATATATTATATGTTTACTTATTTTTTAAGTTAGGTAAAAATATAACTTAATCAAAACATTAGATTTAAAATATTTTAAAATGTTTATGATAAATCAAAGGCACAAAATTAAACAAATTTGGGTCTTAGCTATTGGTAATTATTGTTGGTAATTGGTAGATAAAATTTTAATGTTTTCAGATGAGTTATAATAATATCTATAATATTTTATTGTAATAGTTAAGCGTGAATTTGCATATAATAATAATAATAATAATAATAATATATATATATATATATATATTATATATTATATTAATAATTGTTTTCTTCCAATTTTGCCAGAGTATATTTATTTTGTCATTAATATTTAAATTTAAATGTTATTTTTACATCTACTTTATTAATAACTGATAATGAAACTAATTTACCTACTATTTGTGATCTCAATCTTAAGTTTCAATATATTATGTTTATTATTAAAAAAAAATACTTATCTCATGATTAAATACATTTTTTTACTAATTGTACATGCACTTTTATGACTTAATTAAATATAACCATACATATATTATACCTATATGTTAACGATTCTAGTATGTTCATTGTTCATGTTGTTTTCGACATCTCAACCTTTAAGAAAAATAACAATTTGTCCGCTTTTAATACATATTATATACATTTATGTATAAAAATAATATATTAAAAAACTTCTGACGAATATCTTACAAAATAATAATATTGTCTGTCGTATTTAGAAACACACCTATAATATACAGTTTACATATTGTTTGCGTCGCACGTATTAATTAATTCGAGATGATTTCCGTTTTTAAATTATAAATGTTTCCTATCCATCTAAAATTATATATAAATTGAGTTTGAATTCGATATGTTTGTAGGATAATCGTAGTGATACATTTCTGATTTCTCCACCAATTTGTGATATCGCATTATTATGCAAGTTATAATAGCTTTGCAGTTTAATAGTTTAGTGTCCTTACTGAATACTGTATAACTGTTACTATTATTATGGAAAAAACGGATGGCCAATGTAACTAACGATCTAAAATCCCAAATTAACGTATAAAGATACATCGTCTCACATACAAGTTCTTCCAATTTATAATTATAAATTTTATTAACTCTAATCATGTATATTGAGGGCATACAATAGGGGCCTGGTGTAGGATGTTAATTCCATTTAGTATGTTTAATATGGCGAGACAATGAGACAAATGTCAATAAGACAATATTGAAAAAGTCTCTTATGTTTCATTATAATAAACGAATGGATAATTTAATATAAATTATACTTTTACTTACCTGCCTGAAGCTATTTTGCTAACAAATTGTTGAGATTAACAATAAATTATAAAAGTATTAATATAATATAGTACAATTTTGATGCATTTACTAATTATTGCTTTACAGCTCACGATTACATGCAACATGTTGTGTTACTACCTACTGACCATCAAAATGAAATATAGGTAGGTACTTAATTATTTCAATTTAAATAGGTATAATACCTAGGTTCAAATTCAAAGTTTATGAATGAAAGCTATTATGCAATCATACAAAATACTGAACACAATAACAATAGACGGAGAAGTTTAGGTGACACTGGATTTTCAACAAAACAATAATGTCTTTAACAAACTTGTATTTTTAGATAAAGATATCTACCATAATTTAATCTCTTAAATCTGAGTTAAATCTTAAAGAGCATCGAAGCCTGTGCGTTTTTTAGTACATAAACATGTCTTACAGGAAAAACTCTCACACTTTGTAGAATAGGTAGTCGGATTTCAATATTTGTTTTAAATTTAAAATAAGAGAACATTATGCAGGTCTGATAAAAGCCTGATTTTCCAAATTATAATTATAGGAGTTAAAATATACTATTGAATAATGCACAATATTTGTTCTTTTTAAATCGTATTTTTCTGCCACTATTTAAAGTAAAATAAAAATTAGGCCTTTGATCAGACCTGGAAAATGTTCTCTTCTCTTAAATAATAAAACAATTAACGAAATCCGACTCTCCTACGAAAATGTTTTTCGTTGATATAATACACTGTATCAACCTCCGCCCCCCCCTAAATAGGTGTAGATTAGTGGGCCAAGTATTATAATTAAGGTACTAACTAAAATATAAAACATAATTTTCAAATTTTATAGAATTTTCGAAAATTTTAAAAACTGGCACTGACACCTTTAAGGGAAAAAGTGATTTCTGTAACTATAATTTACTTTAACAGTTTTTGTTAGAGAAAATTATATAATATGATTTATTCATTAAAGTTATTTTCCTAAAGTTACAATTAAGGCAGGTAATGTAAGTGCGAAACTGCGAACCCTAAGCGTCAACCGTATTCGACACCTATAATATATGACCGGTGGAATTTTTCAATAGCCTGTTATCCGCGCAGTAGACATATTTGATATTTCATAGGGGATTATCTTTCTGAATTTGTAGCAGGGGTGATCAAACAATTGTTTGTTAGAAACTGAGGAAACGCTACGACTCACCCTGCAATGCAGTGTACATAATATGGTAGTCGGAATAAAAATCCCCCGAAAAAAAATCACCCGGCGAACAACCCCGAAAAAAAAATCACCGACCCTCGGAAAAAAAATCCCCTGACTACAATATTATTTGCAACCACATGCAAATGGTCGACTAAATAGTTTCTAAACGTTAATTAGTATCTATAATTACTTCATTATTAATATTTAATTACAAATACGTATATTATATTACATTATACTATATTATATCATTCAAAAAAATTATATATAGTAATAACTGAATATTAATGATAATATAAATAGTATTTTGTTTTAAATTACGATAGTATATATTATGTGTAATTCAACTTAACTACAAACATTTGCAAATTATAATATTTTAGTTTAAAATTGAAATTATAATGAATGGATAATGTAACCTAACCTATACTCACGTCTCATCATCAAAATTCACAAATATAGCATATAAAAATATTTCGAGTGATCGACTTATTTAATTGGTCAACAAGAATGTTTTCATTTTTTTTTTATGTTTATATGTTTATACAATATAATTTACGTATTTGTAATTACATATTAATAATGTGGTAACTGGTAAATACTATATGGTAATTATAGAGACTAATTAACGTTAAAAAATATTTGTCCAACCATTTGCATGTAGTTATGTGTAATATTGTAGTCTGGGGATTTTTTTCCTAGGGTCGGGGATTTTTTTCCGGGATTCACATAATATATATTATCATAAATAGTTATGAGTTATGACGGCGATTATAACTTTCCGATATATTCGTATATGTATAGTTTGCGCCTATACGCATTGCTATATTTTTGTATCATATTATATCCATCGTTAAATAAATATCGATTTAATACGATCTTAGGGGTAAATATTGTATACAGAAATAACACGATAGATATTTAAAAAAAAAAAATCGTGGAACTAGCTCTGTTGTATAAACTACAGAATAGTGAGTGTAGAGTATATACCATATACAATCTGAGCATCATTGAGTGTGTAGCCGTGGAAGTGACTGATTATCAATGGTTGGTTTTAGGCATGTTTTATGAGTGAACAAAGATAATGCAGCTGCTGCAGCTGCAGCTGTGATCGCGTATTGCATTATAGGTATCACATATTATATATATATGTGTATTGTTTTCCTCAATATTTGCTTGCACTATTAATTATTTTATTTTATATCTTATTTGTACAGTTATATACAAGTATCCATCAAATGCACCCAATTATTATTTATTATGACCTTGTTTTTCTAGATTTAGTCCACGTTTACTTAAGGTTTTCTTACACATCTTAACCACGTCATATAAGTGCTTTGCACTTTTGCATAGTTTCGTGATTCATAATAGTCGTTAAGATCTCAACTTAAATAATCATTATAATAATTAATAAGCAAAAACCGATCAGTGTAATGGCAAGATGAGTGACAATATGCATATACAGACACGTGTAAGTGTGTATCCCCAAAATGTCGACGTTTTAAATTTAAGACGTCAAATTT